GCTTTCTGGAGAAATTCAAGTCTATAAATACTGAGAGTGCAAGATAAATACTATTAAAGTTGAATAATATGAAACAGCCAGTTCTGTAGCTCAAAAACAGTCAACTAATAGCCATTTTATAGATAAACTGCTAGGGAAACAAAAATGAACAGAGGACAAGAGGTTCTAATGAAATATATTTTCAGTGGCATTACTTTATACTAGGAATAGTTACACTGGAATAGTTGCTAGGTGACTTGAAATGATAAGATGCTGTTAGAAGCGTCTCTGATTCTCTGGGCTGTTATTTGTAAGAAACAAACCAGTGAGTCAGGCTGTGGAAATCATGCCTGAGCTTTCCTGGAGTCAGAGAAGAGAGTCAGAGGGGTAATGACGGCAACCCTGAGAGTCATTGTCCTTGGAATGGCCACTCCAAAAGAGCCGAGTGAAGGTGGAGTGTGGTGGGGACCATGCAGAGAGCACAGGACCGGAAACAGACCTGCATGGGCTCTGCAAAGTCAATGGGGGAAGGTCCTCAAGGATGCAGCATCCCATGGTACAGGGTGGATAGAGATGCTGACAATTACAGAAGGCTCTGGTCTGCTCCTGGAAGGCCACTGATTAGCCCCCAAAAGAGCATGTTTGCTAGGGTGATCAGAGCAAAAGTCAGATAGTAACAAAGGGAATAAAACTGCACACAGTGATTAACAGCCACGGAGTCTGGAGTCAGACATTCCAATTTATTTCTTGGCTCTAGTGCTAACCAATTAGGCGGCATTAGCCACATTACTTACCTTGTCTGTGTTTCTGTATCTTCAGTGCCACAGTGAGTAAAACAACAGCTCCTGCTAAGACACATTCCACTAATGAGTTCAGTTTTTGATTGGTCCTACATCATGTAACCTTGCAGGACCGGTCACTCTGATTCTGGGATCAACCTTTTGATCTTTTTAGGCCAGTAAGATGAGAGATGAGATGGAAGGGTCAGTGAGTCCATTCTTACCTCAAAGGAACTGGTGTGTTTTTCTAGCTTGCTTTCTGCCCCCTGCCTTTACCCAGAGATTCTTCCAGAAGGAAAGAAATGGCTTAGAATAAAGCTCAGTCTGTCTGGAGCAGTTGGCATGTAGAGAGACACCCTTTCAGCAGACATCTCATCACCATCACAAACACAAACACACACACACACAAACACACACACACACCTTCCACCCAAGTGGCCCCCAGTTTTTGAATAATATATTCTTACTCTGGATTGCACTGAGGATTTTGTGACTGCTTGTCAGGCACTATTAATGGGGGCTGGAGGGGAAGAAAATTGATCTACCTAACTTAGAGAGTTGTTAAAGTATTAAATGAGATAATATGTTTAGAGCTCTTGAACAGTGTCTTCACATACAAGTGCTAGTGGCTATCATGATCCAAGAGAGTATTTACATTCTAGGAAGCACATAGGGATAAACTAAGGCGCAAGGGTAAACTAATGATTTGGTAACTACAAACAGATTTCTTTCTCATTGTTCATTTTATGATGGGAGGAAGAAAGCTGCATTTTTTAAAAATTACATGTCTAAACTGTTTTACTCATTAGGACACTTTCAGTTGCTAAAACAGAGCCTAAAATTTTTCAAAAGGCAAAATATCTACACTTCTCTAACTCTGCTGCCGCTCAAGTGTGCTTTAGTGGTTTCTAAGTGAAAAGACTTCTGGAGAACTATAATGGAGGGTACAAAACTCAGGAAATAAAACAGAACTCTTCCATGCAGTAAACAGCACAATGCCCTACAATATTCAGCTTGGATACTTCAGCTGAAACAGACCTCGACTCTTAGCTGAATGCACGCTGAGCACAAAAATACTTGACAGAAATAGGAGTCACTTACCAGGAGGGTTCTTTTTATTAATTTGACCTGAAATCAAGGTCTGCTTTGCAAAAGGAGGTATATTTCTCCTATTCATTATGGTGAAGGCTAAATATAAAAAGGGTGTCTGTGTTTGTACCCCTCAGTGAACCTGCTCCTTACTGGCTTGGAAGTTGGACAAAGTGCACAATCAAATGCTTCTTTTATACCAGCATGTGCAGATGCCAGCTTAGAATCCACAGAGCATCGTGACACACCATGTCAGCATCTTCCTTTCCAGAGAAGCCGGTGGGAAGGGAAGTCACAATAAACATGTTCTGGCAGACTGGAGAAACCTCTAAAAGCCAGGCCCTCCTTCCTGTCTCTTCCTTTTATCCTTTAGTAATTGAGACGAAGACCAGAAAGGCTATTAGCTGTTTCTTTAACACTGAATGCTCCAAGTAAGCATGGTTCAAGCTAATGAGACAAGTTTCCATCACTTTTAACTCTCCTCTAAAGAGTAACGATGCTACTTAGCAAAAGCCCTTGAGAACTGAAGTCCTTTGCCATTTTCTGGGAAGCGGCAATGGAGTGTCTTGCTTCAGCAAATCTCTCACCTGCTTCCCTGAATGTAAATCCCAGCTCAGCCACCTGTGAGCTGTGTGGCTTCAGGTGACTTGCTTAACTTCCCTGTGCATCTGTTTTCTCATCAATGAAACAAAACTGTTAAAAAAAAAACTTAATCATGACAGTTTTGTGATGATTCAATAGTCCATATTAAGTATGGTAAATTCAGCACTAACCATATAATAGTGCTCATTGATTTTCTCTATAGATATTTACTGAACCTGCCATATACTAGGCATCATTTTAAGCATTCTGCAAAACAAGTGGAGAGTGATAGAAGCTTAGAGCTTAATAAGGGGAAAATGATTAATCTTGAATAGACTAAATGAATAAAAATGCTGGATCGTGATAAAGGAAAGGAAAGGAAAGCTAAAGGAAATTAATGCTGAGTTCTGAGAAGGCGAAACTACTGAATAGAAATTGAGAAATTTCATCGAGGTGAAATTGGGGCAAAACGGAAAGATGGTGATGGCTGAGCAGAACAAGAGTCAGGGGGACAGCTCATGACAGGGCCTGACAGCCAAGGGCCAGCACGATCGATGGGAAGGAGGCAGGGAAAGTGGTAGAGCTACGCAAATCTCAGATCACTTGGGTACTTGCAGTCACTCTCAAGAGCTTCACTTTTCACTCTAAGTGACATGGAGAATTGCTGCAGGATTTTCAGCAAAGAATCAACACTATTTGACTCACGTTTTATTTTATTTTATTTTATTTATTGTTTTACAAAGCTGTTCATGATTGGATTTCAGTCATACAATATTCCAACACCCATCTCTCCACAAGTGTTCCCAGGTTTCCTCCAGTTACTCCCGCCCTCCCCATCCCCTGCCTGCCTCTATGGCAGGCCCTTTTCTTCTCTCTCTTTCTCTCCTGTGGGCACTGTGGTTTGCAATATCGATACCGAGAGGCTATCCAGAATATTCCTTATCTACTTTTAACCCTCAGATCTTGTCCGGCATGATCATTCCTAGCTATTATTTTCATAGTGGTCTCTTCTCTCTCTTATCTACCCACAGTGGGTAGGGCATTTGCCTTGCACCTGGCTGAACTGGGTTTGATTCCGCCATCGCTCTCAGAGAGCCTGGCAAGCTCCCTGTGGAGTATTTGATATGCCAAAAACAGTAAGAACAAGTCTCACAATGGAGATGTTACTGGTGCCCGCTCAAGCAAATCGAACAATAGTACAGTGCTACAGTGCAAATATATATATATGTGTGTGTATATATATGTATACATATATATTTTTTATATACCACAAATGAATGCAGTCATTCTATATCTGTCCCTTTCCCTCTGACTCATTCACTCAGCATGACAACTTCTATGTCTATCCACTTATAGGCAAATTTCATGACTTCATTTGACTCACATTTTAAAGGAATCACTCTGGCTTTTGGTTGAGAAAAGACTATAGGGAATGAAAGCTAAAAGCTGAGTCAAGGAAACCTGTTGGGACTGCTGTGTCTCAGGTAGGAGAGGATGGAGGTTTGAAGCAGGGCTGAGAATGGAAAGGAAAAGTTCCAAGGGCCAGCCACAGGGTGGTCATGTACTTTACATGCAAACTTGTCTTCCCTGCGGCATTAATTATGCATCATGAGAGAGTGAAGACATTCAGACTGAGGTCACTGGGGACATGGCCATCTCCCATGTGTGGAGCTCATGATCTGGACACAGCAGCAGTTCAGTTCTTTTAAGGAAACATAACTACTTTTATTGTGCTATGGGGTCAGACCTGGAGGAAAGTTTGGGGAGAAACATCTGATGGTGCCCAGAGCGTCATATGTTATCAGGAATTGAATCCAGGGCATAACACATGCCAGGCATGTGTTTCATCACTTGAGCCATACTCCCTGTCTGAAATTTGCTGCTTGTGTTCTTAACACACATTGCCTGCTATTGTTATAAATTCACGTGTTTATAACATGATGATCTTTCCCAGATGATAAAAATTTTTAGAATAGAGACCATATTGTGTCCTTCTTTTAAATTTACCACAAGAATGGAATGGAAATTAAAATAAATATGCCCTGGAAAACTAAAGAAGCTTCTAAAAGCCAGGTACTCCTTCTGATCTCGTCCTTTTTGTCTTTAGTAATCGAAACAAAGACCAGCGAGGCTATTACTATTTCTTCAACATTGAATGCTCAAAGTAACCCATAGTTCAGGAGTTTATACCCTACCGGGATCACGCTAATGAACCAATAAGTTTCCTTCATCTTTAACTGTTCTCACAAGACTAAGGATCCTGCTTAGTTGACATGGCTGTTTTCTAAATTGATAACACACATCAATTTTGTCACTGGTACTCACCACATAAACAAAGCAAATACTGGTCATCCTGTAATATGTTACCTGGGGAACAAAAAACCTTGATGGAGGATGACCTGAATGTGTTGGAGACTTTCCTTTACAGATACATAAATAGCCCTCTGATTTAAACAGCCTATCTAGAAGATAGATTTCTGGCTTGCAGCATATCTACATTCCTATAACATAGGATCTTGAAATATTTCCCTTGATTCATAAGAAGGAATATTATTTTAAAAAATCCTCAGGATCCTTTTTCAGTTTATAAGTATTATGATTGGGTGTTCACGTTTGTGTGACATGTGCCTCTCTTAAATCTTGTTATGCACTTGGCACATTATCCATCTGATGTGAAAGAAAAAAGGAGGGGGAAAAAGATGGGGGGGGGGGGAGTTAGTCAAAACCCAGCGTTGTGTTTCCTCTATGGATGTAAGTGAAGATCTATTTTTTTTTTATAATTTATTTCTTTATTGAATCACTGTGGGAAAAGTTACAGAGCTTTCGGGTTTAGGTCTCAGTCATGTAAATATCAAACACATTTCCCTTTACCAATACTTATTTTTAACCAGGAACCCCAATAGAACCCCACCTCCCACCCCTCCCAATTCCTGTGAGGCAGATGAGTTCTAGTTAATACTCTATCTACTTTGACTAGATACATTGTTTCGATAGAAGATGCACAATTATTGTTTAGAGTTTACGACCCTCCCCCCCACAATCAGACATGCTGAAACAGCGTTGTGAAATGATTTGCTTTCTACAACTTGGTTTAAGAATAAAATGATGTCGCACGGCTGCTATCGCGGCCGCGCGGTTTTGGATTTCTGCTACTTTACTTATTAACCCTGGAAGAATTTCTATTAAAAGTTAGTTAAGAGATTGGTTTCTATGCTCTGGAGTCGTGGCCGTGCCGGAGAGCCGCTCGTGGGGGGCAGCTGGCGACCTCGGTCGGGCGTGAAGGACGGCCCCTTACGCCCCCCTAAGTGAAGATCTATTTAAGTACATTATGGTCTTTCTCTAAAGGACATTATGGTCTTTCTCACATTTTTTAAATTAATTTTATTGAATCACTGTGAGATAGTTATAAGCTTTCATGTTTGGGTTACAATCACACAATGATCAAACACCCATCCCTCCACCAGTGCACATTCCCCACCACCAGTATCCCCAGTATAACCCCCCCTTTCCCACCCTCCTCCTGCCTCCGTGGCAGACAATATTGCCCATACTCTCTCTCTACTTTTGGGGATATGGTTTGCAATACAACCCTGAGAGGTTATCATGTTTGTTCTTTTATATACTTTCTGCACACATCTCCCATCCCGATCGATTCCTCCAGCCATCTTTTTCTTAGTGATCCCTTCTCTATTCCAACTGGCTTCTCCCCTTTCCTTATGAGGCAGGCTTCCAGCTATGGAGCAATCTATCTGTCCCATGTATCTACTGTAAAAGACACATTTTTCCCAAAAATTCTAATTTCTGGTTTTTAAATAAAACTCAAGAATTTTATATTGGAAATTTTTTATCTACAAAGGACGAAAGGACATTTAAGCTTTGTAGGCAACTCTGTGGCAACTACTCAAGTTCTAAACTGGTTAGCCACCATTCAACTCAGCCACTGTTATGTCCAAGCGGCAAAAGGCACATACATAAATATATTGGAAATGAGCATTAACATACCAAAAAAATGATAGGTCAGATTTGTGCCATCTTTTGGAGAACCTTGGTATCTGTCATTATCTTCAACTTATCATTTACGGAGGTCTTGAAATATTTCCTGCCAGACCTAAGACCTCCAGAACCAGCCACAACCATGCTGAGACCACTCTCCCTCCACACCCACGAAGGTACTGGCAGAGGAACAAAGGTATGCAGGTCCCGGGGCTGAGATCTCCACGCCTACTTGGATCGGGCTGAGCATCCTCCACCCACATGCTCCGTCTTCCAGTAGGCAGGGGTCACACCCACCAACTGGCCCCCAACGCTGTGTAATCCCATCAACGGCCAAGACCCAAAGACTATAAAACCCAGCTCCCGGAAGCACAGGGCCACATTTGCAGCTGTGTGACATCTTATTATCTCATTCTTACTTTGGACACCCTGGCAGGCTACCAAATGTAACCTGCCCACACAGCAGAATCTGGAAAACTCCCCGTGGCGTACCCAATATGCCAAATACCAGTAACAATGATGGGTCTCATTCTCTTAACCCTGAAAGAGCCTTGAATATGGCACTTTTTAAAATCTCAGGGCTAGGACGAAGGAGACGTTACTGGGGACTGCTCGAGGCAATTGACGAACAACAGGATGATCATGATCATGATCATCTACTGAGTCTTAAAACTGCCGCTCTCCCTCTCCACTTTCTCCTGTGCTTTTGTAGAGACTATCAGTGACGTCATGTTGCTAAATCCAGGGCTAAAATCTCAGCCTCTATTTAAATTTGATCTATAGCATTTGACAGAGTTGACCATTCCTTCCTTTTTGAAGCTCTTTCTTGCTTTGATCTCCAGAACACCACATTCAACTGAGGTCCTCCCTTCTGCCAATAGCTTTCTGATAACTCTTAATGTCTTTTAAAATTAATTCTTCATCTTCTCTGGTGCCCCTCACCTTTGTGTGGGCTGCAATTGAACTCAGAACCTTACACACTCAAGGGCCATTTTCTGTTGCTGAGCTATGGCCTAGTGCCTTCTTCATAAATTTTAATATTAGAAGGATCCAAGAATTGGGTCAGCTTTTGTGTTATATTTATACTCATTTCCTGGTGATCACCTTTAGTTCCAGATCTTTATTCCCAGTTTTAGCAATTACACCCAGTTTAGCAATTACACGCAGTTAGAAGTTAACAAATATCTCAAATCAAGTTTTCCAGAATTGAACATCTGCTCTATGTCCATAATCCTGACCTATTCAGGCTTACTCATCTGAATTAGTAGCTGTCCAATACCTATAGCTGTCCATTTCAATACCTGAAGTTTCCCCCCTCCCCATTATGTCACACCCTATAGTTCACCAACATATTCTATTTACCTTCCAAATTATATCAACAAAATATGTTCTCACCACCCAGACCCACAAGTTTCTGTCAACCTTCCAAACTTTCTGTAAATACCACTGAGAGTGATTCATTCAATCAACATCTCACTTAAAGTTGTAGCCCCCTTACTCTCCTGATGCTGCCCTGCTCCCCACCCTACTTTCTTCCTTCTTCAGTGCCTGAGTCCCTTGAATGCATATGCTTCAGCATGTCAGGACCACAGGAGCAGGAGATTATCAGTTTTAGTCCACTGCTGCCTCTCCCACACCAAGAATACTGCCTGTCTATAAAAAACATTCAGTAAATATTTACTGAGAGATTGGATGGTGTTTATGATTAGAAATAATCATGCTTCTGAAAATGACTTATTTTGTGGACAATATAAACTTTATGATTGACACTTTCCTCTTCGTGTAAATATTTTCCTCTTTACCTAGAAATGTAGAGCCAAATTTTCGTCCCTTGTATATGATATCAAGTGATCAAGTGATCAAGGGATGGAGTTCAGACAGTAGACACAACAAATCATATATATATATATATATATACATATATATATATATATGCCTCTTGGCGAGCCTGGCAAGCTACCAAGAGTATCCCGCCCACATGGGCAGAGTCTGGCAAGCTCCTCGTGGCATATTCGGTATGCCAAAACTAGTAATATAACAGGTCTTATTCTCCTGACCCTGAAAGAGCTGCCAACTGTTGGGAAAGACGAGTAAGGAGAGACTGCTAAAATCTCAAGGCTGGAATGAATAGAGATGTTACTGGCACCTGCTTGAGTAAATCGACAAACAATGGGGTGACAGTGATACAGTGATATATGAACTCACATGCATTTTATGATTTGTGATATGGAACCTCAGTTTTAGAAGTGAAGTGTACATTTGACTTTAGTTTTTTAAATTATTATTATTGAATCACTGGGAGATACACAGTTACAAAGTTGTTCATGATTGGGTTTCAGTCATACAACACCTATTCCTTCATCAGGACACTTGGCTTTGAATGTTAGTCACACTTAAAAAGTTGGACTTTCGGCAGATTAGTTTCAGTGCTTCATTTCTCTTTTGTAGCTTACTTAAAAGGCTCTGCTCTCAGGACTCACCCCTGATGGGCTCCTGAGATCACTTGGATGCTGGAGATCGAACACAGGTTGGCACATGAAAGGCCAGCATCGTATCTGCTATTCTATCTCTCCAGCTCCACTTAAAAGGTTCCTTATAAGGATATAATGTTAGATGTAAAGTTCTTTGAATTCAGTAATGCAAGAGAACAACATGACAATTTGCTGGTAATAAAATAACTAACCATCTGAGTTTGATGGGACTGAGGGCTTCCCTGCACATGGGATTTGAAATGCTACAACCACATCAGGTTCAAGTACACTCTTACTTTTCTTCACTGACATTTTCCTTTGTTCCTTTGTGTTTGTTTTATGTATAGAATTTTGAAAGGTGTCTTCCATTTGTTTAAAAAATAGTGCATATGAATAAGTCATATTAAAGATTCACTTGTGGTAATGCGCATATTACCTGCCCCTAAAATTATGAAGGAGCAATTATATATTATAACTATATATTTCATAAGGGAAACCTGAATAAATCACCTTTCTTCTTCTAGAAGGTTTTAATTCACTCTTCTCAATGCTGCATGCAAAACAGAGGCAGAAGATATGAGCTGAAATGGATGGTAAAATCTGAAGGACTCCATCAAAAGCAAGTTTAGTAACAGAAGATATATTATTACAAGAAGCTACATTATTATGTAAATGAAAAAGACTAACACTGTTAAGTGTCATACAAATGTTGGTTGATGATATTATAACATTCTGCTCTTATGATACCCTGGGGCTTCTTGAATAACAGAGAAGTGCTAATGAAATGAGGTCACATATTTTAGAAGTACAATATAAAGTGTGTGTTTGCAATCATCTACAAATTCTCCATGTAATTAACTGCTTCTGTGATTGCCTTTGTTGGCATTTACTCCCCCTTGTATAACCTTTGTGAATATCTGAAATTTAAGACAAGTACCAACATCTTTCTTAACACAGGTTATTTGGATTTCCCAGGATGGTAATATAAGTTTTGCAGCTCTCCTCGGAAAAATAACCATAACTATTGAAAACTTAAAAAAAACTTTTTGAAGTCTCTGAAAATCATAAATGTATACAACATCTAGAGAAATAGTTATTCCAAAACCATAGTATATAGTAAAGAAGAACAAAGATCTATGGAATTTGAGCCATTGCCAGCTCCTGCCTCTGTTTCCCAGCTCAGTACATGGAAATTCTTCTATGTGTTCT